TGTACTGCCTTGCTAATCTTTTATCAGCTATAATCATTAGGATAAGAAATAACTGTGTGATTTGTAGTAAGAATATAGTCCTGGGTAAAAAAAACCTGTGTAACCAAACTATGTAGTCTCGAGGAAATTCCTGTGTAAGTTAACCTTAGAAGTGTAACTAAATCTTTGTAAAGTGTGTTGTTTGCCCTGAGCTTCTGATGAAAAAGCACCCTGGTTTTCTCAAGAGGCTGCTTGAGTAAAAGAAAACTGATTTGCACAATAGCAAGCTTTTTTTTTCACCGTCCACGAATCAAGAAAACTATAAGTAACTGTGAATTTTGTGTCTCGGGGTCTCAGACCATGCTGGGCAGACTGTAGACCCCACCTTTGTTTCTCTTAATAAAGGTTGTTGGGTTGTTTTTTTTCCAGAAAGGCTTCCCAGCTTCCTTTTAACATAAATTATGTATCATTTCAGAGGAGGAAAGGTTCAAAGCCTCTCGGTTTCCTAAAAGAAGTGAGGTTTTAGCTGAGTCTTGAAGACAGGGAAGGAGTTTGACAGGTAGGGATAGGAGTACAATTTGAGGGCAGTGGAAGGTGAGCTGGGTTTGGATGAGGGGGCCTTGGATAGATGGATGGAGGGGAAGTGAGAGGGCTTGGTCAGGCAGCGGGCATAGCAATAGTAAAGGAAAGAGAGTCTGGCAGTCATTGGGAGCAGCTCTTGGATTCCTGAGTAAGGGTTCTTCTTGTTGTTGCTGTTAATGATGATGATGGTGATGTTCAGTCATTTTTCAGTCTCGTCCGACTCTTCATGACCCCATTTGAGGTTTTTTTGGCAAAGACACTGGGGTGGTTTGCTATTTCCTTCCCCAACTCATTTGACAGATGAGGAAACTGAGGTAAACAGGTTAAGTGACATGCCCAGGATCATACAGCTAGTAAGTATCTGAGGCCTGATTTGAACTTAGGAAGATGAGTCTTCCTGACTCCAGGACCAGCACTCTATGCACTGTGGCGCCCCCTAGCTGCCCTTGGGAAGGAATGAGCTGACTACAAATCTAACTGGCCAAAGATGGCAGTACAGTGGAAAGAGCCCTGGATTTGGAGTCTCAGTACCCAAGTTCAAACTATGACTCTGCTACTTACTAACTGTGTGACCTGAGATAAATTATTTAACCTCTCTGATCCCCAGTTTCCTCATTGGTAAAGTGAAGGGATGAGACTCAAAGACCTTTTACTTGGGTCTCTCCTAGTTCTAAATCTATAATCCTTTGAATGTCCTTATGGCCACTGGCCGTCTGTTTGGATTTGTGCAGATCGGTTAACCCCTTTGGGCCTTCATTTTGTCATCTGTGAAATGGGAGAGTTGGGCTTGATTTACCTCCCAGGTTGGTTCTAATCCTAAATTATGATCTGAAGAATCCCTTAGCACTCTGTGGAGCTATTGTACGTTGAGTATGGCTGGACTCAGTGAAAATGTGGATGAAATCCCAACTCCTAGTCTTATCCTAACTAAAGGGAGATGGATTGGCCTGAGCTGTCTTCAGAGTTACAGTGATCGATTCTTTAGCAGAAGGAAAGGCAGTCCCTGGCCTCAAGGAGCTTACATTCTAATGGAGGGAGGAATACATAAAAGGAAGCCAAAAAGTAGGGGTGGGGAAAGAAGATGAAGGTGGCTGACTTAGGGGCATGTTAGACGAAAGCCAGAGAGTCAAGAGTTCAGCGTGGGGAGGAATAAAGTCTGACCTGGGCACCTCCACTTAAAAGAGATTGGCTGGGAGGAACCTGCCAATCAGAGGGAAAGGCCACAGGGCGGGGGCAAGGGAAGGGGGAGAAAGGGGGCCTTCCAGTGTGAGAAGTCTTCCATCATCTAAATTTCTTATCCTTTATCTCCTTCCTCGTTTTCCGGTCTTCTTACGATTTATACCCTTCTATACCCTTATAATTCAGGCACATTGCTGTGCTTGCTGAGAAGGGGACAGAGATATATCATGACAGGTTGAGGAGTTTGTAGAGTCAAGTGATTTTTTTTTCAAGTGGGGGAAAACCTGGTACGTTTGTGAACAGAAGTGATGAGAGGGGAAGGCCTTGATTATAAGGACAGTCTACCAGAGAGGGGAAGGGATTAGATCCATGAGACATGTGGTAGTTGTCCTTGGCAATGAGACTGAAGTATAGGCTAGAGGGTACTTTCAAGGGCTTTTGAGATATAGGAAAGGGGTCAAGAAGGACTCACCAACTGGCCTTTATTTTCTCTGTAAAGTATGAGGCTGTGAGGGTAGGGAAGAAGGGAGCGTGGGAGAATAGAGGAGAGAAGAGAAAGTCTGGAATAACAGCTATGATGAGATAACTCCTCAAGCAGAGAGGAGTAAAGGGATTGCCTTGCTGTAGTGAGAGCCCAGTTGAGATCAGGTGACATAAATTTGTGGTGGACCTGGTCTGTGCCATGCTGTGACTTCCTCCAGCTCTGTGTCAGTACCGCATGAGTAGGAGCAAAGGAGGTAAATGGTAGGAGTAATTTAGGGCTGGAATTTGACAAGGCATGCATACTTATAGGATGAGAGGGTAAGGAATCCAAGAGGAGAGAATGGTATAATGACAGACTGGTCAACTGTATTGCCAGAATTCCAAAGGGAATAAAGTGAAGCCAGAGTAGAGGTGGTAGTGTGGAAGGGTAGTAGAAAAACTGGAGGTGATGGTGAGAACAAAGAATAAGTTTTAGAGGAGAGATGAAATAATAAGAAGTTATGGTCAAATAAAGGAATTTCAGAATTCTTGGTCATGGGAATGGAGTACTTGTCGATGATAAAGAAAGATCAGAGTTGTGACAGTCCCAGCGTATGGCTCAGATGGAGTGGAAGAGTAGGTCATGGGAGCACAGGAGGTTAGGGAAACAAGAGGCTTGGAGTTTTGGAAGAACATCAACACATATCTTGAAATTTCCTTGTAGGAGGGAACGTTGTAGAGTTGGGGTGGAGAATTGCTTGACAACAGAGAGAGAATCTGGATTGGGGGATATATTTGGGCAGGGTAAACCTCAAAGAAAGAGAAATAACTGAGTCATAGCAGTGGAGGAAAAGTCTGCAAATGGCAATGAGTAGCAAGATGCATTTCAACTCTTCCTTCAGGACTAGTGTCTTAGAGCATATGAAAGAAGATGCAACCGGAACTGAAAAGGATGGGCAGGTGGGTGGTGGTGTCTTCTGAGACAAGCCAGGTTTCTACAAGTGTTAGGAGATGGAAGGGGGAGGAGACAAAGAGGACCCCAAATAAAAGGGAATGTGTTGATGGTGTAACAGGAATTCCATAGGGTACCATGGAAGGGGCAAACAAAGATGGTGTGGAACATGGGAGGGATAGGGTGGAAATGACTAGAGAAAGGGAGTTTGGGGCTAGGGGATAAGGAAGTGGTTATACATAAGAACTAAGGATTCCATTTCACTGGGATTGGGTGAGTAAAAGGTGGTGGGAGTTTTCTATCCATAGGGGATGAAACTAGACAGAGTGATGATGAACCACAGCTCTGCTGATGATAGCAGAAGATTGCAACACTCAGTGTCCTGGCTCTGCCTCAGCCCATCTTGATGGCTGTCACCTCACTGGGTCACAATCATTGCCATAACGAAGGTAGCTACTGATCTATTACTTCATCCCTACATCCCAGAGAATTTCCCAAAGCCCACAGGTTACATAATGTGTCCAGAACCATGCAGAAAAAAAATGTGAGACCAAGAAAGACCTCCATGAAATAATGCCAAGCAGAAAGAAAAAGAATGGAAATACATTTACCAAACCATATACGGCAAAAATGGAAATGGACAGTCAAAACAAGGACTGCTGATGAAGATTAGAGAGACTGAAAAAATAATAATGACATATTGTGTACTGGCATGTGTTTAAATGAAGATAGTTGTAAATTAAGCTTAATTGGTAGAATTGATTTTTAACGTTACTTATAATAATAAAATTTTTTAAATTTCAAAATAAAATTACTCGACTTGCCATCAAGAGGGATCTGGGTTTAATCTCAGTTCCAAATACTTAGTAGTTGTATGATCTCAGACATGTCATGCTTTGAGCCACAGCTTCTCATCTGTAAATGGGGATGCAGGATCCCATAAATCAAAAAGGGAAGCCGAAATGAATAAGGAATCCCAATGGAGATTAGAAAGAGTGGTTGGAAAAAGAGTTATGACAAATTATGTACTAAAATGTATTTAATTGGAAATAGTTGTAAAGTAAGTATAATTGATAGGGTTGATGTTTAATATTGTTTATAATAAAACATTAAAACTTAAAAAAAAAAGATTGCTAGACATCCTCAGGAGAGATCTGGGTTTAGTCTCAGTTTCAGCACTTAATATTAGAATGACCTTGGACATGTCAACTTCTCTGAGCCTGTTTCTTCATCTGTAAAATAGGCATAGTAATATATTTGCCATGTACCCCGTTGGGCTGTTGTGAGTGCTTTGTAAACTTCATAAACTTTGTAAACTTGCTGTGGAAATCTGATCCCTTTTATAATGTTTTACTATTTTTTTAAACATCACTGTTATTTATATGTGATTCACACCCCCATAAAACCCTCCCTCATAGCAAATAAATACAGTCAAACAAAACAAATCAACACATTGACTGTGCCTGAAGATGTATGTCCCATTCTGAACCAGTGGTCTACCGCCTCTTTGCTGAGAGGCAAGAGGCGTGTAATGCTTGAACCATCCAAGCGTCTGAAGTCACAGTCGGTCACTGAAGGATCACAGTCCTAAAAGTCTTTCAGCATTGTTTTCCTTTACGTTGTTGTGACCATTGTGTAAACTGCTCTGGTCCTGCTTACTCTGCCCTACCTTAGTTGCCATAATTCTCTGCATTTCTCAGAGTTGTCATTATAGCACAGTAGTACTCTACTATATTGGTCTGTGCCCTTTCTTCAGCCATCCTCCACTCATTGGGCACCTCGATGTCCACACCATATTCTCCCGGAATACCCCCAGGGCTTACTGATTCCCCTTTCCATTTTGCAGGTAACCCAGTCGTGATAATCAGCAGCTCTGAAGAGTCTGACGAGAGCGAGGTGAGCACACTGGCCAAGTAGGCCCTTTCTGTCTTCCTTTCTCCGCTTGTTCTGGGAGCCCCCATGTTCATTTTGGAGGGTAGCCAGGAATCATTCCCCTTAGCCCTCTATTAGTCTCCGCTAACACATCTGGACCCCCACACCCATACTCACAAGGTCAGGATCTCCCTGAGTCAGGAAGATTCCATGAACATCCATGCTTAACCCTAGTACCGGAGCCCTAGGTTCAGATCTTGTAGGCTATTCCTTGTTTCCACATCCTTTCCTCCACTTTTGATTTTCTTAAAGAGCCAGCTTTTTTTGCAGAAGAGTTTCTGCCATCATGGCTGGGAACTCTCTGGGACATGGGAGGGATGAGGAGCGAGTGGCTACTTTGGGGGATGAGTTTTTTGTGAGTTGGAAGCTGCCTGTGATATGGCAGGGGTTTGTGAATAGGGTCCTGGGTCTTGTGTTTATTTAAAAGAGCCGATTCCCATGGACACTAAGAATGGAAAACTAAGGGGTTGCTCCTCTGTTGAGAAGTGGCAGAACAAATTATGATATATGCATGTGATGGGACGATCTTGTGCTGTGAAAAATGATGAAAGGGACGGCTTCAGAGAAATCTGTGAAGACCTCTGTGAGCTGATGCAGAATGAAGTGAGCAGAACCAGGAAAACAATTTATACAAAACAACATTGCGAAGACAAACAACTTTGAAAGACTTAAGAACTCTGGTCAGTGCAGTGCAGTGCACGATTCCAGAGGATCCTTGATGAAGCATTCTGCCCATCTCCTGACAGAGAGGTGACGGACTCAGGGTGCAGATCGAGACATTTTTTGGTCATGGTCAAAGTGGGATTTTTTTTTTGCTTGACTGCATATGTTAGGAGGGTTTTATTTTCATTTTTATTTTTTCCAGTGGTAGGGATGGAGAGAGGAGAGGTGGGAAGGAGAGAAAATAGGTTTTTACCAATTGAAAAAAATAATAAATCTTTTAAAAAAATAATAAAGGAGCTGCAAGTGACTCTGGTGAGCTAACACTCATGGCCCACCCTGAACAATATCAAGGCTTGGCGGGTAAGGGGCAGTGCCAGGTAGCTTGACAAAAGCTAGACGCGTGATGACCAGGGCCAACAGACGTGGAGTCGACACAGATATTCCAGGTGGGGAGGAAGCTCCAACAATCCGTATTTCTACTTGAGCACCAACCAGGAGGGGTGAGAAACAAGAGGACTTGAAGCTTATAAAATGCATGGTTTGTGAGCACTTGGAAGGAGAAGCAGCGGGCCACCATGGCAAAGAAGATTTTGTGGATGGACTCACCCCTTGGGAATCAGTCTTCAGGTGATCAAGCTCTCTATAAATTGACTAGGCTGGCCCTCCGATGATGGAAAATCCATCTTTCCCAGTGGGGCAGAACCTGCCATAAATTGAAGTCTTTTGATTTACAGCCTAAGAGAATGCAGGAGTGCCTCTTTGTCCCAGTGAGGCGTAAGAGGAGAACCTTAGTCATCTCAAGCCTCTTCTTCGTAAAGCAGCCAAGTAAGCTTCTTACCACTTCGTGCTCCCCCTATCCGTGTACCTTGTTCTGGCTCTATTCAGGATATTGATGGATAGATTCGTTTTGTTGATACTTTCTGTTTTTATATGACACTCAGCATTTCTAGATATATCCCTGCACTCTCCCACAACACACAGCTAGCCTTCCCTGTAACAGTTACGCAAAACTAAGGCACACCAGGTATGCAGCATTCCACACCTGTAGTCCCCCACCCCACCCCACATTTCTCTACAATGAAGAGATGGGGCACACACCCCTTACTGAGCCGGTGTCACAGCGGTTTCTGTGTTTCAGTCCTGCAGTGATTTCGGAGATAGCAGTGACTCAGAAGATCTTGTGGAGTGCACAGGCAGCACAAAAGCACCCCCCAGCCACCCCATCAGAGAACCCAGTCATGAAAACAGAGCTTTGGTGTTCTTTGACTACAAGGTTGACAGCAAAAGTGAGTCTCGCGTCAATACCCCCTTTCCCCTTCTGGCCTCATCTCCAGAGTCCCAGGAGGTGTGGATGGGCCAAACGAGTATCCGTGTGTCACCACTGACTGTGGGGAGGCAACCAAAAACTGGCCCTGTGAGATGGTCATTCAGTCAGCTGATACTTGCACTTCCCTTTGGCCCCGAGGGTTCTGAAGCTAATTTGGGTGTGGAAGTCAGGACTTCCGCCCTAAGGGAAGGAAGTATGTCTAGATTCCAAATCTCACAAGTCAACATTTTCATAGGACCAGGGGATTTAAAGCTGGGAGGGACATCAGGGAATCATTTGATGCAATCAGTCCCCTTCTGGAAACTGAGGCCTGGAGATTTAAGCAATTGGTTCAAGGTCACACAGGTGAGAAGTAGGCCAGGTGGCAGCAAATCTGACCAAGGGTTCCTTAAAGATCTTAGGGCCCAGTCCCGCCATCAGTGTGGGGAGAGCACATCAAGGAGGAAAACAGGGTCTGTTTTCTGAGGTCAGGACCTCAGTTTCCTTATATGAAAAAATGTGGGTGGTCGTTAATACTAAGAGGCAAGGTGAGTTCCCCAAATGCCTGACCTCACATAGACATTGAAGAGAAGGAAGATTAATTCTTCAACTCAAGCCACCTTTTCCTGAAAATAGAACCCAACCAAGGGTGAACCAGTCCCTCCCCATCCCAGATCCTCATTTCTGTGGCCTTAGTCCAGGATTCTGGCTGGCCCATCCAAACAACAGAATGCCTTGGCTTGGCAGGGCAAGATGGAAGTCAAATGGAATCCACTCTCTGTTCCATTAAGGCCAGCTATGGTGGCCAGTCCCTGGAATGCCAGGCCAGGCTGGTCACTGTATCCAAAGGGAGACTGAATTGCTGGCATGGCCTGGAAATGGGCATTTATTCAACCAGCATTTCTTAGGCCAGTTGTAATCAAGGCACTCATGGTGCTATATACAAATTTGGGTCACAGAAACAAAAATAAAACAATCTCTTGCCCTCCAGGAGTTTATATTTTATTGTGGAAGACAACATGCATAGGTAAGTCAATATAAAACAAACACAAAATACTTTAGAAAGACTAATAACAAGTGGGGAAGGGGGCAAGAAGAGCCCAGAATGGCCTCATGTGCGAAGTGCCCCTTCAGTCAAACTTTAAAGGAAACAGTATTCTAAGAGGTGAGGTCTACAGGGCAGCCTGTGCAAAGGTGTGGAGGTAGGAGATTTAATATCTAATATGATGTATAAGGAATACCAAGCAGGTCCTTGATAAATGCTTTTTAAATGAATGGGCAGCTCAGTGATATAAGCAGTGTAAAACAGTGAGAAGAGTGTGTTGGTTCAAGAGTCAGAAGGCCTGGGTTCAAATTCTGCCTCTGATTATTTTTTTAATGTGACTTTCTAAAGGGCCTTCAGGGTCCTTTCCAGCCCTAGTCTTAGGATCTTAGTTAAGACTATCATGGGGGTAGCTTAAGTGGCACAGTGGATAGAGCTCCGCCCTTGGAGTCAGGAGGACCTGAATTCTAATCCAGCCTCAGATACTTGACATTTACTAGCTGTGTGACCCTGGGCAAGTCACTTAACCCCGATTGCCTCACAAAAAAAAAAAAAAAAAAGTTTATCATGATCCTAAAGTGTCCATGGGCTATGATGGGGGTGAGGAAGGATGGGTATGTAAAGACAGATTTCAGTGAGTGTCTGTATACTGCTAAAGAGGAGAAAATTGAACATTCTTTCCAATCCCTAAACTCTGAAGTAAGCCCCCTGATACCCTGCTTGTGGTCTGGAAGGGGAGAAATCTTTATATAGTACCTACGAGGTGCCAGGCACTGTGCTCAGCACTTTTTACAAATATTATCTCATTTGATTAGTGTGTACCAGGCAGTCAAATGAGATAATAGTCATAAAGTGCTTTGCAAACATTAAACTGCTATCAAAATGTTAAATGATATTATTATTATTTTCACTGTTGTTGTTAACATCATTTCCTCAAGCAGGGAAACCAGACTGAGAGCAAAATCAGGTTTGTGATGAGGTTCCAGGATGGTTAGAAGAAAGCCCTGGGGGATACATCTGCAGTGTATCACTGAAGGAAAGGGGAAACAGAGCTGCCCAAGCCTTGACTGGAGGGTGTCAGGGAGGTCGGTCGGTCACTTGGAGGTAGCTGGCGGCACAGTGGATAGAGCGCTTGGCCTGGAGTCAGGGAGACCTGAGTTCAAGGCTTAACTGCCTCAGTCACTTACTAGCTGTGTGACCCTGGGCACATCACTTAACCTCTGTTCTTTTCCATTTCCTCAACTGTAAAATGAGGATAATAATCACAGGCTCGTTGTGAGGAACAAATGACAATGTTTGTACCAAAAAAAAGTGCTTAGCGCTTAAAAATTGCTTATTTCCTTCAGTTCACAAACATGTATTAAGCACTTGCTCTGGGCTGGGTGTGGTGCTGATGCAGCTTGCCTTGGAGCATTCCTCGAATAACCCTCATGAGAGAAAGGATCGGAGGTTGGTGTCTCATACATAGGATAGGGATTGGGGGAGAGATGGGACCTAGGAAGGCACTGGCTGAGGGCACTCCCAGCTGAGGAAAGTTCTTTCACCAGTACAAGTCAGCACCTTTTCTATAACCGATAGTCACAGATGGCTGCCAAGGGCACTGAAAGGTTAAGTGATCACCCAGAATCACACAGCCAGGATGACTGAGTCAGAACTCGAACACAGGTCTTTGTGGTACCAAGACTGGCTCTCTCCACCATACCATGCTGCCTAACATACATTTAACACTTAATGGGTGCTTAATAAATACTAATGTGATCATCTTCCCCACCCCACCCCCATCCATGCCTTCCCCCTTCCTTCTTTCCTTCCTTCCTTCTTTCCTTCCATCTTCCCTCCTTTCCTTCTTCCTTCCTTCTCTTCTTCCTTCCTTCCTCCTTTCCTTCCTTCCTTCCTTTTTTCCTTCCTTCCATCCTCCCTTCCTTCCTTCCTTTTTTCCTTCCTTCCTTCCTTCCTCCCCTCCTTCCTTCCTTCCTTCCTTTCCAGTAGGTAAGGAGAGTTGGTAGAGAGAAGAAAACTGAATGCTTAATGATTGAAAAGATAAAATAATTTTTAAAAAATTTGGAAAGGAAAAAAATACTGGTTGGCTGATTGACTAATTGAGAGAGGTGATGACCCAGGAGTCTCACTTGGCTTTAGGTGCATGAGTTCCAAGAGAGATGTACTGAAGACCAGAAATAGGAATAGGAGCTCAAGCAACTATTTCAATGTCTCTGACACTGTTCACACTGACCTTTCTTACCCCTTCTTCCCTTATCTCTCCATGTCCTATGCATTCTGATCCTCTCTCTCTCTCTCTCTCTCTTTCTCTTTCTCTCTCTCTCTTCCTCTCTAGCACTCTCTCTTTCTTTCTCTCTCTAACTTTCTCTTTCCTTCTGTCTCCTTTCTCTTCCTCTGTCTTTCTCTCTACTTCTCTCCTTCCCTCTCTTTCCTGTCTTTTTCCTCTCTTTTCTTCTCTCCCCTTCTCTCCCTTCTCTTCCTTCTCTCTCTTTTCTCTTCCCTTCTGCCTCCTCTCTCTTTCTCTGTCTCTCTATCTCTTATCTTTCTCTTTTTTCTCTCTTTTTTATCTTTCTGTTTCTCTATCTTCTCTCCCTGTTTCTCTCTGTCTCTCTATTTCTATCTCTGTATCTCTCCTCTCCCTCTCCTCTTTCTGTCTCTCTCCCCTCTGCTTTCTCCCTCTGTCCCTATCTCTGTCTTGGTCTCTTTTTGTCTTTGTCTCTATCTCTATCTCTGTGTTCCTGTGTCTCTCTCCTTTCTGTCTCTCTGTCCTCTCCCTCCCTCCCTCTCTCTCTCTCTCTCTCTCTCTCTCTCTCTCTCTCTCTCTCTCTCTCTCTCTCTCTCTCTCTCTCTATCTATCTATCTATCTATCTATCTCTTCCTTTCTCCTTCCCTGTCTCTTTCTGTCTTTGTCTCTCTCTGTCTCTGTGTTCCTCTCCCTCTTCTCCCTCTCCTTCTCTTCTTCCTCTTCCTTTCCCTCTCCCTCTCCCTCTCCCCCCTCCTCTCCTTTCTCCCTCTTTGCCTGTCTCTTTCGATCTTTGTCTCTATCTCTATCTCTGTGTCCTTCTGTCTCTATCTTTTCTGTCTCTCTTCTCTCTGTCTCTGTCCCCCACCCCTCTGTCTCTCTCCCCCTCTCTCATTCTTTCTCTCTCTCATCCCCAGCCAAGAAGATCACCCAGCTGGCCGCTGTAAATGGCGAGAACAATTTCCGTATCATCATCCAGCAAGATGAGGCCCATTTCAGCCTCTTTTCCAGGGGGGTTGCCATTGAGGATGGCCTGCAGAATTTCCTCTGCTACCTCCGTTCTTCCTCCCACCCCATCCTGGCCGGCTACAAGCTCTGGTCGCCTAACGTTACCGTCTTCTTTAAGGCCCTAGAGACTTCCTCTAAAAAGGGGGAGTTCCACGAGATCATCTCGGGGTTCGTGGACGTCCTGCCTATGGTCCGTGACAGAGTGCCCGGGGCCAGCAGCTATAAGCTGAAGAATCTGGTCAAGACCTACCTGTCAAAAAACGTGAATGACAACAGTGCCCTGGCCTCGGTCAGGGCCATGCGGGACCTCTGCAAGATCCTGCATATCTACCCAGGCCAGAATATCAATCGCAGAGTGCTCCCCTTCTCTAACCTGGACTGCTTTGCTTCCCTACAGCCCCTGGTCTACGTCAGTGTCCTGACCCGCACCCAGGCCAAGGTCCTTGCCCTCCGGAATGTTAGCCTCACAGAGCTGCAGGCGGCCTTCCATGATGATCCTGAGTGGGGACTCAGGAAATACAGTCGCTACTTGGCCTCTCGGAGCTCTCGGTCACTCCCTTCCTTGCTGGGGCTTAGGAACTACCTCGAGAGCCTGCTGTCAAACCCCAAGCCAGAGGGAAAGCAGGCTGCGGGTCCCAACCAAGCTCCCCTGGGAAAAGCCTCTCCCCAGACCAAGAATGGGGAGTGAGCTCTGCTGCAGGCCTGGGGGATGGGAGGGAGATGCCACGTGCTTCTCCAGACTCCACTGGCCATGTTTCTGTCTCACTCTGCTATTCGATGTTCTAGTCCCCAAATCCCTATTTAAACGGGCTTTCCGTATCCCTCCATCTGCTTGGTCTAAAGGCCTCTGTGCAATTTCATGTGGATGTTATCCCCTTTCCCAACCCCCAATCAAGGAGGGTTCTTTAGCAGACAGGGCAGAGACACCTGGAAGGTGTCTCTTTATAAGACCAAGCTGGAAAGGACCTCTGGGAATAGGTGGGAGAGAGAGGGCGAAGAAGGGTGGTTTCACCTTCTAAGCCCCAGCTCACCCCTTCCTCAGGTTCCAACATAACATAAACTAGGAGACCCTCTTGCCATATAGGCCCACCCAGGTCCACCCTCCAGATTATCTGTCAGGAAGGCCAAGAGTTTCAGGACAGGTCAGCGTCTCTCTCTGAAGGTCCTCCCTCGGCACCAGCTCAGATTTCATCCAACAGGCCTCTTCAGTTCCCTAGGGTTCATAGACCGTTGCTCAGCTCCCTCTGGTGGCGCTTCCCCGCCCTCTCAGCCGCAGACGCTGTTCCCTGCTGAGCTCTGGACAGCCGCCTGGGACATTCCATCCCCATGTGCCACCTGCCTGGGTGTAACTCCAAGTGCCTTTCATACTGGAATTGCTGCCTGTGCATGGTCGTGGCTCCCTTCCCCTCCCCTCCCCACCAGCCCCTAGCCCTGCCTTCCCCCAGGCTCAGTTGCTTCTGCTCTTCATTGGTGTAGGTGCTTGGCTCTTTTTTCTCTTCCTATTCCATATTTACATAGGAACCGATGTGATTCAGTGGCAGATGAGGCACTGAGTGATTGATGCCTCTTCACCCATGACTTTCTTGCCCTGTCTTTGTAATATTCTCCCTGCTTCCTCCTCAGAATTCCCAGCTCCCTTTCTCCCAGCTCCTCCCACGCTCCTCTAGCTGTGGGAGGCATTGTGGTATGTTGGCAATAAATACATGGGCCCAAGAATCGAATTCCCCGGGTACTTATGCCTACTGTAGCGCTACCCCCTGACCGACTTGACGCAAATCACCTCCACTTTCTTGCCCAAGTTCCTTCAACTCTCAAATGGGGATTGGACCAGAGTCCTCTGAGGTCCCCTCCCTCCCTGATGGCGTGCAGTTCAATGATTCTGTTTAGCCGAAAAGACCCATGTTTTCTGAAGATACCTGTGATTCTTCAGTGATCATTCCTGTTGAAGGGGATGCCTCGAAATGAATCCTGTGTTTTAGGGCATCTCAGTTGCAGAAATATAGAAGGTCCTGACCATTATCCATCTGTTTGGCGGCAGAATGAGGGTCAGAGGCCATCCAACTACTGACTCACACTTAGTTCCTGGTGTCCTTTGGCCTTGACATCCTGGGTGACATTTTATTATGCAAAATAAAAGAAAGATACACACACACACACACACCAGGAAACAAACCTTGATTGGTATAGTATACATTCCCCCGCCTTGGTCTTCAGTAAGTGGCTTCACATGGGTTAGAGATGTTCCCGTTGTAAGAAATTCAGCAGCTGTGTCTGATCCTGGGCATCTAGAAATGGGAGGTGAGGCCCAAGCTGCTCCCCTCTTAATTCTCAACTGTCACTACACCGATGGACCCCAGTTTTAGAAAATCAGCTGGATATCTGGATTGACATCCAAGAAAAATAGACATGGTGGTAACTCACCTGACAAAAAGATGCTTCCATTTGCAGAAGGATTTGCCATGGCATTCTTAATATGGGGTAATGGACATTGCTGGGCCTGGACCTAGGATTAATTTGCTGTGTCCTGCTGGGCAAATCAGCTCACCTTTCTGGGCCTCAGTTTTTCCATGGCTAAATGGGCATAAAAATAATGTCCTACTCATCTCTGACTTAGTGTGGCAGCTATGAAAATTGTATGAGAGATAAGCTAAGAAACTACCATGTGATGCCAGGGATAGTTTTAATAGTGAGCTCCTTGGCACATTTAAAATAGGTTCCAAATTATTCAGAGAGGCTTCAGCTTCAATCAATCAACAAGCAGCTTTTAAGGAACATAGTTATTTGTGCAAGGCAGAGGGCACCTGCATCACAAATGGAGGCCATCTATCGAATTGGAGGCTTGAGTCATAATTCCATTATATGACTTCCATCAATATTGAAGGAATTCCTGGCATTCTCCGTAGGAAAGGCAGAGGAACCCTCTTTCCCTCTCAGTGACCTAATTCACACTATGGACTTTAGCATTTAGCAATTCCATTGTCACCTTGGGACTTTGTGTTTTCAGATTTGCAAATACCATGTGATAATATTTACACCAACAGAGTGGTTTACTGTTCTCTCTCTGCCTTCCCAGCTTCAAATGAATCCGTCTGTCCTAAAAGCTGAGCTCCCAAATGGTTGACTTTGCTCAGCTCATGATAAGTGAGAGATGTCCCCTCTCTTTAACACCATTTATCTTTGCCTAACCGCAACCACAACTCTGTAATGGGGGAGGGCAAAACCTGGTTTTTAGAACAGAACTTCTCCTTCAGACCAAAATTCTCACTCCAATGTTTGTAAATTGTTGAAAATCTAGAACTCTTTATCTCTTCCCACACCACAAACTAACTCTTCTTCCTGACTTCCCGATTTTTGTTAGTGGGACCACCATTCTCTAGAAAATGACTGCAAACTCAAAGGCTGCTTGGAAGATCCAAGTCATCTACCTAGGCCAAGAACAGACTTTAATGGCATCCGTTCCTGGTTAAGAAGTAGTCAGTGAATTCTTGTTTGGAATGATGGATGATATATGTCTTTTTTTTCCACACTGATGCTTAGCAGAGGCTGGTACCTGTATTGTTCTTGGATCCTACTGTTCATTTTGGTAAGATTTGTTCATTTGTGCATGTACTCATCTGACTGTCCAGATCCAAGAGGAGGAGTCTGTCCCTCCTCATTGGCCTACAGATCATTTCATGTTAATATGGGGTAGGCCTTGGGGAATAGTCAGCCTAAGGTGAGGGTGGGGGGTGGGGGGGCCTTGTGAACTGACTAATTGCCACTGTCAGTGATCTGTACTGGATGATGCTTCTATTATGGATGCTTCTTCCTCTATTGAAACTAATTAGTAGTGGAATTAGATCATTCAACTCCAGCTTTTATCCTGTTCAGTGTGATGTCCTCCTGGTCCAATAAGCCTGCTGTATATCCCAAAGTTGGGAATCTTAGGGCCCCAGGGCTCTAATATCTGTGTATCTTTGTTCTATTATCGCCATTAAATGATCTAACCCTTGTAGTGAGTGTAAGAAGTTCCTTTCCCAGAAATAACCTGGTCAGATGAACTGGTAACAACCATCTTCCATTTAGAAACTGCAAAATCATCTTTGACCCCTCCCTTTCCTATATCTCCCACGTTCAAACAGATGCCATGCCTAGAAGTTCTATGTCCACAATTTGTCTGGTTCTGTGGAGCCACCTTCATTCCACTCCCACCACCCATTTCTAGCCTTCATTATCTCACATCTGGACTGTTGCCTGCAACACAGAGATAGTCTACTCCTCTCCAAGCCAGGGTCATTTTCCTAAAGCAGTATTCTGATAATGATACTCTCTGTATCATTACTCAGAACCTTCATTGGCTGCTACTGTTTATCAAATAAAGTCTACGCTCAGCTTGGCGTTCAAATATTTCCACAATATGGCTCCATCCTACCTTTGCATCCTCTTCTCACGCTTTCATGTCCTGTAAAGAATAAGATGCTTATAAGAAACAAGATTTCAAAGTCTGTGTAAGGTGTGTCTGAATTTCAGCAGCTATGCAGAGGCTGTTAACTGAGTGATTTGGATGGAAGACCATAGAAAGGACCTCTGAAACTTTGAAATTTCTTTTTTTTTATTTTTTATTAATTTATTTTGATTTATCAACAATCACTTCCATATGCTTCTGAGTTTAAAATTTTTCTCCCCCTTCCTCCCCACCACCCTCCCCAAGATGGTGCACAATCTGATATAGGTTATACATATACATTCCTATTAAACATATTTTCACATTAGTGATGTTGTAAGTAAGAATTAGAACTAATAGGAGGAACCACCAGAAAGAGGAAACAAAACTCAACAGAGGAAAAAAATAGCAAATAATGTGCTTAGACCTGCATTCAAACTCCATAGTTCTGTTCTTTGGATGAGGATAGCATTTTCCATCATGAGGCCTTTGGAGATGTCTTAGATCCTTGTATTGCTGGGAAGGTTAGAAACTTTGAAATTTCAAAGAATCTGTGGTGTCTCCATCCCAACCTGGATAAATGGGTCTGTTTAGGAGAGTGACACTTAGATCTCCCACAGGCCCAAGAGCCTCCCCTTTGCTTTTAAGTGAAGAGATAGCCTTACAAACTCAAATCCCAGACTTACCCCAAACAAGAACAATCCTTTCTCCACAAACCCTCCCTTTCCAACTTCCCTCTTGCAGACAAGGGCACCACCATCTTCCCAGCCAACCAGGTTCTCTACCCCTTGGTGTCATCTTCAACATTTCATTCCCACTTGTCCCACATATTCAATAATGTTATCAAGTCATGTAGGTTCTGTCTTCAAAGCTTTCCCCTTCTTTGCATCCATATTGCCACAACCCGAGTACATGCCCTCATTGACTTCAGCCTGGACTACTGCAGTAGCTGGTTGGCCTCCCTACCTCAAGTCTCTTCTCCATTCCAATCCATTCTCCACTAGGCTGCCAAAAGGATTTTCTTAAAGTGTATCTACCCATGGCACCCCTTTGTTTAATAAGCTCTAGCGGCTCCCTAGCACCTCCAGGATCAAATATAAAGTCTGATGTTTGGCGTGGAATTAGCTTATCACCTGACCTCATCCTACCTTTTTTAATCTTATACTTTATTCCTCTCTACAAACTGTGGGCTACATACTGCTACACACACACACACACACACACACACACACTTCATCCCCTGACTCCATGTTTTTTTTTACTCTTATTTTGCATTCAACTTTATTTCTAAGAGCAAAGCTCTATAATGAGATATAGTCAGAGAAAATAGTTAATAAAGAATCACAGCAAGGATAAATAGATAGCAAGGAAACAAATGACTGACCTCAATTATTTCAAGTCATCAGGTTCAAATGAACTACAACTCAAAGCAAAAAAAAAAAACTTAGGGATTTACAGGGAAAAAAATGAATAATAAAAGTGATACAGAACTGACAATGGGAAAACTTTGCCCTTCTTTTCAAAAAGAGGAAAAAAGGTAGATTATTCAATTGATTATCTGAGGGACTCAAACTCAGTATTTGAAAAATCTAGAAGCAACAATTAAAGGGGTTGTGTATAAAATTTGGAAAGGGAAACAATGATCACTATAAACTTGCAGGTATATAAAAAGAATAAACTCTGCTAGGATAATGTCACTACCTTTCATGGCATGTTCACTAGACCAGTACATGTAAAGCAACAAAAAGTAGGTCCCAAGATACCTTTGTGTAGAAGATATAGGTTGTGGTCTACATAACATTTCAATGAAGAGAGTTTGGGATGAACTGGTCTTGAAAATCTTCAAAAGTTCAGAGATGGAGTAGGTATAACAAGGACTAGTAAAACTGTATTTGACTCAAAGAGACTGACCTTTTGTGTATTTGAAGATCAAATTTTCTATTGAGCTCTGGTCTTTTTATCAGGAAGGTTTGGAAGTTCCCTATTTCATTGAATACCCATCTCCTCCCCTGAAAGATCATGCTCATTTTCGCTGGGTAGTTGATCCTTGGTTGTAATCCGAGCTCCTTTGCCTTACGGAATATCATGTTCCATGCCCTATGGTCTTTTAATGTAGAAGCTGCAAGGTCCTGTGTATTCCTGACTGTGGTTCCATGATATTTAAATTGTTTCTTTCTTTTTTTTATTAATTTATTTTGATTTATCGATAATCACTTCCATATGCTTTTAAGTTTAAAATTTTTCTCCCCCTTCCTTCCCACCACCCTCCCCAAGATGGTGCATAGTCTGATATAGGCTATACATTTACATTCATATTAAACATATTTTCACATTAGTGATGTTGTAAGTAGAAATTAAAAACCAATAGGAGGAACCATCAGAAAGAGGAAACAAAACTCAACAGAAAAGAAAAAAAAATAACAATTCAGCTCCCATAGTTCTTTCTTTGGGTGTGGATAGCATTTTCCATCACAAGGCCTCTGGAGATGTCTTAGATCCTTGTATTGCCAGGAAAGGTTAAGTTTGTCAATATTAGTCATCACACGACAAGGCTGTTATTGTGTACAACGTTCTCTTGGTTCTACTCAGCATCAGACCATACAAGTCTTTCCAGGTTTTTCTGAAGTCAGCCTGTTCATCATTTCTTATAGCCCAATAGTATTCCATCACATTCATATACCACAACTTGCTCAGCCATTCCCCAGTCGATGGGCATCCTCTCAATTTCCAATTCTTTGCCACCACAAAAAGAGCTGCTATGAATATTTTTGTACATTTAGGTCCTTTTCCCATTTGTGTGATCTCTTTGGGATATAGCCCTAAAGTGCTATTGTTGGGTCAAAGGGTATGCACATTTTTATAGCCCTTTGGGCATAGTTCCAGATTGCTCTCCAAAATGGTTGGATCATTTCACAACTCCACCAACAATGCATTAGTGTCACAATTTTCCCACATCTTCTCCAACATTTATCATTTTCCTGTTTTGTCATGTTGGCCATTCTGATAGGTGTGATGTGGTACCTCAGAGTTGTTTTGATTTGCATTTCTCTAATCAATAGTGACTTAGAGCATTTTTTCATGTGACTATAGATGGCTTTAATTTCTTCATCTGAGAACTGTCTGTTGACATCCTTTGACCACTTATCAATTGGGGAATGGCTTGTATTCTTATAAATTTGACTTAATTCTCTATATATTTTAGAAATGAGGCCCTTATCAGAGAGACTGCTAGTAAAAATTCTTTCCCAATTTTCTACCTTCCTTCTAATCTTAGTTGCATTGACTTTGTTTTTGCAAAAACTTTTCAATTTAATGTAACCAAAATTATCTATTTTGCTTTTTGTAATGTTCTCTATCTCCTGTTTGGTCATGAATTCTTCTGTCCTCCATAGATCTGACAGGTAAACTATTCCTTGCTCTCTCGGTTTGCTTATAGCATCAGCCTTTATATCTAAATTGTGTACCCATTTTGACTTTATTTTGGTATATGGTGTGAGATTTTGGTCTATGCCTGATTTCTACCATACTGTTTTCCAGTTTTCCCAGCAGTTTTTTTCAAAGAGTGGGTTCTTATCCCGGAAGCTGGGGTCTTTGGGTTTATCAAATAATATATTACTATAGTCATTGACTACTGTGTCTTGCATACTTGACCTATTCCACTGATCCACCACTCTATTTCTTAGCCAGTACCAAGCAGTTTTGATGATTGCTTTTTTATAATACAATTTAAGATCTGGAAAGGTGAGGCCACCTTCCCCTGCATTTCTTTTCATTAGTTCTCTTGATATTCTGGACCTTTTGTTCTTCCAAATGAATCTTGTTATTATTTTTTCTAACTCTATAAAGTAATTTTTGGTAGTTTGATTGGTATGGCACTGAATAAGTAAATTAGCTTAGGTAGAATTGTCATTTTCATTATATTAGCTCGGCCTACCCATGAGCAACTGATGTTTTTCCAATTATTTAGATCTGATTTTATTTGCACGAAAAGTGTTTTGTAATTATGTTCATAGAGTTCTTGGGTTTGTTTCGGGAGGTAGACTCCTAAATATTTTTAAATGTTTACAGTAAGTTTAAATGGAATTTCTCTTTCTATCTCTTGCTGTTGGGCTTTGTTGGTAATATATAGAAATGCCAATGATTTATGTGGGTTTATTTTATAGCCTGCAAGTTTGCTAAAGTTGTTTATTATTTCAAGTAGTTTTTTACTTGATTCTCTGGGATTCTCTACGTATAACATCATGTCATCTGCAAAGAGTGATAGCTTTGTTTCTTCTTTGCCTATTCTAATGCCTTCAATGTCTTTTTCTTCTCTTATTGCTAAAGCTAATGTTTCCTGTACGATGTTGAAGAACAGTGGTGATAATGGACATCCTTGTTTCACTTTTTTTTTTTTTATGAGCTGACTTCCACACCTGGCATGTTCTCTTCCAGATCCTGGATTCCCTGGCTTCTTTCAAGACTCTGGTTTAAGAAGAGTCACTAAAGCATTCAAGGTGTTCCCCCTTCCTTCAATGCCTTCCCTCTGAAATGTTCTATTTATGCCACACATTTCTACCATGTACATTAGC